GGGGGAAGCCGGGGCGCGCCGGGGAGTCGCTCTGCGCCTGCGCGGCGCGGAGGGCGGGGCGGGCGGGCGCCGTGCCCGCGGCTCACACAAAGGCGGCGGGAGCGTGCGCTGTGGGGAGTGCGCATGCGCAGTAGAGGCGTCGGCCGCCCTGGCTGAGGGGAAGGGAGATGGTGTTATCCCTGGTGGGTTGTAGCCTTGTGAGGTGAAGGAGGCTATGGCTGCTTCTGTTGGAAGGGGCAGGAGCTAGGTGTCTGTGGGCTCTCTGGGTTTGGGGAGGCCCGAAGTGCTGTTGGAGGGGCTGGTTTGTGTGAGGTCTCCTGAGGTGGGGGTTGGCAGGGGGGGAGCTGTAGGCTTAGGGAGGAGGTTGTGAGGAGTTGAGGGGAGATCGTTTGGGCTTCTTCAGTGTCGGTTGACTTACAGAGACTTGGAGAGCTACCACGCTAGGAGTCTTTGTGACCTGCCTTTTGGAGGCTGAAGGATGGAAGGAAGGCGCTCTCCATGGCAGAGGATAACAATCCTATACCTAACTCATTCAGATGATGTAGGACCTTCTCTCCTATCTGGCTGGGATATAGAATGAAGTGCATTTGTAGTACTTTGCCCTACTCGTAATCCCCTTGAGGAGCTGCTTGCTGTTAGGGGTCTCATGGTTTGGCTCCTGTAAAACTTTAAACTCCATTGCCTGTGAGGTTTTGTGAGCTCAAGTACAACAACAACAAAAAAAGGCAAGTCTGGGGGAATGAGGAGAGATTATTGACTCCCAGATATACTGAGGAGCAGTAGAGTAGCGAATTTAATTTCGAGTCTGAGAGAAAATAAACAATTTATAAGCCTCTAGAAGGAAACAAGAAGGTGAATGCTAGCCAGTATGGCTCTGCTGTGAATGAATTGAGCCAATCTAATTTCCTTTTCTGGCAGCATAACAACGCTTGCAGATAAGGGAGAAGCAGTATATGTCATATATCTTGATTTTTTAGTAGAGCTTCTGACACTGGCTTGTAGGATATTCTAATAATAAACTGGGAAACCAGTCTAGATGATACTGCTCTAAGGGAGTTGCAAAACTGGTTGAGGAAAAATGTACTTGATATCAGTGCTTGTACAGGGAATTACCCTGGGTCCATTACTCATCCATGATGAAATAAAGAATGTAATTACTGCATTTGAAGATGAGATCAAGTTTGAAGGCAGAATAAACACAGTCATAGAACTAGGATTCAAAATGGGAGCTCTATGGAAAAAATAGGATGTGGTTCAGTAGCAGGTGCACTGCTGTATGCTTTAATGTAATCAACTTCAGAATTACAAGGCTGGGAAGAATTGGGCAGCTGGCTGTGCTGCAGGAAAGGATGGAAGGGCTGCTGTGGATTGTAAACTGAACAGGAGTCCATAATGTCTTGCTGTTGCAGAAGAGGCAGACACCATGCAGGTCCACGTAGGTAAGAAAATGCTAGTAACACGCAGGAATCCTGCTCTGCCGAGCTGTGCTAGAAGAGTATGTCCAATCCTGGGCTCCGCACAAGAGAAATATGAATGATTTGGAGAAAAAGGTGGCAATAATGATCAGAGTCTGTGAACGCATGACTTTAGCTGAGCCTGTTGAGAGGACAGAAAACTGAGGAAAGATGTGGTAAGTCTTCAAATAGATAAAAGGCTGCTGCTATGAGGAAAGGAACAATTTGTTCTCTTATGTCCACTGGGGGTAGGGCGAGAAGTCATAAGCAAAGATAACAGCAAGGCAGATCTAGGTTACAGTGAAAAAAATTCTCAGTGATTCCTTTGAAGTAGTCAAGCCCTGTGGTGGACTGACTTGGCAGGATGTAGGGCTCTTTTTAGAGGTTTTTAAGTATGGATCAGACAAATATTTGTCAGAATGGCAAAAGTGCAATACAAGATCTTGTATTCGGGAAGGAGGCTAGAGTCGCAGGTCTCCTAAATCAGTGTTACTATGGTTCTGTAACTCTGAGATATGTAATCATGCAGCCCTTATTGGCTTAACGATAAAACTAGATCAGCTGCACAGATTAAAGATA